CCATTTCAAATTTTTGAATCAATCGAGGTTGCTGGTTTCTTGAATAATTCGGAGGTCAGAATCCATGTATCCAATGGTTAATTGTTGTCCACCGTAAAAAGCATTCGGTGTGAATTTTTGTCAGTACCGGGCTTGTCTTGGTAACTGGTTACCTGACCCGACCCGAATTTTGGACAACACTTTGGGCGGGAACACTGTTCATTTTTCCCAATCTCTTTGTATATAGAAAGATTTTCTTTTTGGCAGTGATATCATGGAACGATTCATGTTAACTGATCTCAAAATCTTTTGCGATTAAGACTTGAATGTTGTTGTTGTTGTCAATCCGAAATTTTGTCCTTAACAAAAAAAAATTATCAAAAATTACAACGCATTGTTATCGGCACATAGTTTTTGAATAGATAATAAATTAAATTTTATGTGAGACATATGATAAACATATTTGAAGACTAGAGGACGGTTAGAAGAAAAGAAGATGATATCACCAATATTAGCAATAATATGAGTAATTTAGAACCATTAGCAACACTCTATGCTCGGACTAGATGGAGTCTGTGGTGCAAGAATTAGTATCATAATGAAATAGGGATTGGCATTTAAAGTGGACAAAACACATATACTAATAGAACCCGAAGTGCTCGGACTAGATGAAGCCGCTTCGTGTTGCTGCTAGCTATGCGGCTGCTGGCCAAATTGTTGTTACCCAAAATGATGTTGCTTGTAGGTAAGGCGTCCTCGGCCATGTCCGCCTCTTCCGCGGCCGCCCTGGCCGCGGTCACCCCTGCCACGTGGAGCGTATGTCGGTTGCTGCTGGTCCACGGCAGTAGCCCTAAAGGCTTGATGTGCGCTAGTGGACGCTTGTTGACGAGTACAAAGGACCCACTGTTCTTGCGTAAGAAGGTGCAAATGCAAGACTCAACACCATGGTTCTGCAGTGTTTCGTATTCCAGTTTTCTGGGCTGAGGTTCCCGATATCTGTTTTGCTGGTGAGCCTGATTATGGTTCCCATGGGGATGGAGAGGAAGCTGAGGAGTATATCCACGAAGTCCAAGTTTGCTTCTGCAGCCAGGACTCGATTGTTCATCTCGTCTATCAAAAGCTTCAAGCAGCGAACAGGGGATTCTTGCTTCGTCTCCATATTACAATGAGAAGGTTATATTGAGGTTCAAGAATTGAAGTTAAGCTTAACAGACTCTGTATCTATCGAGAAGATAACAATTGTTGGAAGGCAACATATATACTCAAAGCTGGCCAAGGAAATGATATGTACGTAATCCACTTCCCCGTACGAGCATCGAAAGGGCAGCAGAACTTGAAAGGTCTGAGCTTATTTAATATACGGCCAAGGTGAAAATAACTAGAGGATATGATGGTATTTGAAGAGATTTTAATATAGTTTTTGAATATGTAAATTTTAATTATTAAAAAATGAGTTAATTGTCGAAAGGGAGGATTAACTTTTATTATTGGGTGACAAAAAAATGTTGACTTTGCAAAACAATTTGGGACGGAGGGAGTACTACCTTCGTTCTCTTTTAATTGCAATATTGGACTTTTTTGCACTATTCACATATTCTACTTTGACTATATTTTATTTATTGATGTATTATAAATTAAATTTTTAAAAAAATATATTTAAATTCCTCTCATTTTAAATTTTAAAAATCTGGACTTTTCAATTTGTTTACTAATAAAGAATGAAAAATATTAATGGTCAAATTTGTGTGTTGGTAAGCGTGAAAAGTGGATCGGTACAATTAAAAAAGAACGTATGAAGTATATGGCGAAGGTGAAAATAACTAAAGGATATGATGGTATTGGATACATAGGAAGGAGTGAAGGACACCTAAATTTTAGACTACAATTTCTCTAAGTATGATTAAGAAAATAATATGACCAAACATAAATTATCAAACTAAAATACCAATTTATGTTCTCAATAACCTTATATTACGTACTAACAAAATTCAGTACATTAATCAAAATCACTTTAATTCACATTCAGCATCACACCACTTTCATCGGTATCACTGTCGTTTACACTCGCTTTCACTGCACTTCTTGTTGGTATCACCATCCTTTCCATCGATGACACTACCCTTTTCACCGATGTCTTTGTACCTCCATCACTTCTCTTCCCACCGGTGTCACCCGGGAGGACCCTAGGGGGTGCAACAAGGGTGACCGCCCTAGGCCCATAAAAATAGAAACTTTTTTAGGCCGACTATTTGTATATGTATGATTTGAGTAAGCTAGCTTCTTTTTTCTTTTTAGACGCTATATACTTTGTACATACTTTTTGTACTATTTCCGTCCTTTAAAACTTTACCAAGTTTGACTGGCACGGAGAATAATAAAGTAAAAACTATGTGTAATGAATATTTGTAATTAGATTTTGATGATGCTAGATTAATTAGGACTTTAGAGTACCTCTCTTTAGACTTAATGTATTAGAATTTTCCTTTGTAAAATTCTTTAGTATAATCGACTGGCAGAAGGCCTCAAGAGCAGAAGGCCTCCAAAGCAGAAAGCCTCCAGAACAGAAGATCCCCTGACAGAAGACCCTTGTTAAGGCTTTGGTTGAACAGAGGACCTTTGGTTCTCTGCTTTAGAACAGAAGACCTCAGGGTCTGTTAGCCTTTACTATGACAGAAACCCTCCTGGTTCTCTGTTGGATATCTCTTCAACAGAAGTGCTCAAAACCTTCTCTGATCAACTCTCTGCTAAAGACACCAGAAGGCCTGACACTTAGAAGAATTCCACCAAGCCGGGAAATTAAACCAACTGAAAGATTCCTTCAACGGCTAGGAGTCTTGAACGGAAAAGCTACAGTGCGCGCATTAAATGCACATTTAATGCCTCCCGTACTCTGTAGAGTAATTGCAGATGATTAGCCGCAATGTCAGGATAACTTTATCCCAAAATAGTAACCCGCCAACTTTACCGGGTCCTACTGGTCAAGTCAACTGCCCGCTAATTTAATGCAGTTGTCCTCCTTCTCCTCCAACGGGAAGACAACCTCAGTATAAAAGATACACTACGAAGAATAACCAGATAACTTTGCAACAACTTTGCTATAACTTTTGCTACAACTCTGCATACAAGATATTCAAACGCTAAAAACGCAAAAAGCCTCCTTGAGATATAATCTTCATCATCTTCTACAAGAGAAGGCAGAAGTTGGAAAAATCCTTATTTCCAACTCAAGCAAAGTTCCAAGTGTTCTTCAAGTCTTCAAGCTCTTCACATACAAATCCGTTGTAACGAAGCAAGTTGGAGGAACCCCTGTTCTAAATAGAACCTCTTCTTTCACAAGAAGGACGTCCAAGTACTTGGAGCAGTGAAGTGGTGATACTTCTGGAAAAGCTCAGTGAAAGGACCAGTCTTATGGAAGCCGGAAGTGCATCCAAGAAGACATCTACACTTGAAGAAGACGTGGAGAGCTTCTTAAGTGATAGGGCCAAGGCATTGTAAACGGACATTTTTACAAGCTTAGTGGAACGGTGGACTAAAGGAACAAGTTGTTCCTTGAACCACTATAAAAAACCCTGATGTCATTTACTTACTGCATTACATTCATTCTTTTATTTGAACTGCTTAACTCCAAAGACTTGGTATCTGTGTTCAGCAGAACTTGTCTTGTGAGTTAACAGAAGGCCTACTGCTTTTGCTTCTCTGAGGCTACTAACAAAACTCCCTACCAGAACCCCATCCGCTGCCAGTCTGTTCTGCCAACAGAACAGGCTATTCTGTTAAATCTGGTACTTAGTTTGAAAAAGTTAAAAACCAATACAGTCTATTCACCCCCCTCTAGACTGTATCCAGTACAACCGGGACCAACACTATGTGGTTGAGCTACATCTGTCCCTTAAAACTTTGCCATGTTTGACCGGCATGGAGAATAATAAAGTAAAAACTATGTGGTTGAGCTTTGTGCAGAAGAGAGAAATAAAAGGAAGCACAAAATAATTGATTAAAATGGAAAGTGACAAAGTTTTTTAGAATGTCCCAAAAAGAAAAGATGACAAAATTTTAAAGGACGGAGGGAGTATGTGGATATTTTCATTATATTATTGAATTCTTAGCACTTTAACCGTGTACTGCGTATTAAACAACCTAGACTTTTTTATGATGAGTGTTGTACTATGTTCTTAGCAATTAAGAGCATCTTCGATGAGGATGTCTATTCTCTTACACACTCTTACACATGAGTTCAATTTTTTATCTCACAAATTTTATGTATAGGACCTACATATCTTAATATTTATTTTAATTTTTCATTTTTTAATATCACTTTTAACTCACTTTTCATCTACTTTGCTCCTCGATTCCCGTGTAAAGATAAGATAGGAAGATGTGTAATTAATTATTGACACAGCAGAATACCATGTTTCAAAAGAGACTTGAATTATTAATAATAAACATTTAACATGAAATGCAAGAAAACAATTGATTTTGAAGCTATCATAGATCTCACTTCACTTGGCAATATAATGCGAGAATTTTTTTCAAGTAATATTTATAGTTTTACTTTTAGTTCACACATACTCCATCCGTTCTTAAATATGAGTCCTCTTAGACTTTGACATGGGTTTTAAGAGGAAAATAATAGGACTACCATAAAAGGTGTAATGAGTTGTGGGTAAATGAAAAATTAGAAAAGAGAAAGGGGTAAATGGTAATAAAAGTGAGGGTATAAAGGGTATTTTGATTGAAAAAACTTACCAAAAAGAGAAAGAATGACAAATAATTAGAAACGTCCCAAAAAGGAATGCGAGACCGTTAACAAAGAACATAAGGAGTATATGTTACTTTTATTTAAGTAGACGACTTATCTTATTGTAAATTAATATTTGTCATTATTACGCCTTTTTGTACATAGTAATTATTATACTATCTAGTTTTAAAAAGTGGGACGGAGCACCTGAACTTCTTTTATAATTCCGGGACGGAGGGAGTATATGAAAATCAAAATAAAAGAGGAAAACTTCTTAAATACAGTACGATCGATCTAAGCTCCTATTAATAAACACAAGCACGTCAAAATAAAAATACTCCAAGTACATGCTCGAGATCACAAGTCAATGAAGTCATACAATTAAGATACATTGAACTGAAGTTCCTTGAGTTTCATGCGTATCAAGATCCTTACAAGAACTATGCTTTATGCTTCTGCAAGAAGCAGCCTAAGCCATCAGTTAGAGCTCCTGATGGGGATGTAAGTGCCGCCTTCAGAAGGCTCAATGCCTGCAAGTAGATGCAACATTAATAATTGCTACTTCGTAGTTTTTATCATAGATGTTTTCTTATACAAATATACATTCATCCAAGTTTCAACCAAAAATATAAAAGATGGTTCAGTTTAAACTACTATGCAAAAATTACCTCTTTCATGCTAATAGGCACTACTTGCTGCTGCTGGATCTCATTGATGGGGACGTTGAGTTCCTTGAGTATGCTAAAGCTTGATGAAGAATACAATGGCTTCACTTCCAAATCATCTGAGATTATGAACTCCGAAGGTTCTTTCAAGAAGTTATTACTGCACCTGGGGTTAATCAGACTACCACTCTCACATTGTTCAGACAACTTCAGAGGCTGCTTCTTACAGTTGTGGTGCTGAGCAATCTTCGGGCAGAATAAGTCATCCTTTATTGCTCCACAATGAAACCATTTCAGATCCAACTCTGCCATACTTTTGTACAAGTCATCCATGCAGCCTAATCCAGAATTCCCCTTCAAAAGACATAGCATTGATCCGATAGGCATGGTCATAAAGGTACACAAGAAATCAGAGAACTCATTACTGGCTTCTGCAAAGAGTATACTGTTCGTAGACTTGTTTACTGTTACTTTCACATTCAACTTATGAGTGGTTTCTTCTTCTTCTTTCTGGACAACACCATTTGATGAGGATGTTACTATTTTATCGGGCTTCGAATGTAAGCTTAGATCTCCTACATTTGGTAGTTGGAGAAAGTCATGAAACACATCGGATAGAGGAGACTTTGAAACCAGTGAGCGTGCAAGCAGTTGGACTGCCTGCAAACATAATATAATGCATAATATAAATATCATCATCTAATTTAAAAGATCTCTAATCAAAATATAAGCATGTTCATAGAACAGACAGTATTATTGGAGATAGATGTGGACTTGTGATACCTGCTCCTTACTAACTTGTACAGGCATCTCCTTAATTAGGTTGATTTCGCCGGAACCAAGACTGGACAGAATCTGAGCAAGAACGGCCGGAGAAGATGGACTGATTTGTAAGTTATCACTGACAATGAACATTGTCCTCTCCCTCTTAAGAAACGCGCCGTCAGGCTCCCAATCTTCAGAAGACGACGAAGCAAAAGTGCTGTCTTTTGTATCACAGGTCCTGCTCATCCCGCCACAGTTGCAGAGAACATTCTCGTACTTGCTTTTACACCCTCCCCTGCTACACTCGTACAACACCTCAGACCCAGAATCATCCACATTTATCAGCAACTCCGTGAAGTATTCAGAGAGCGGATTTCTGGGTTTCAACACCATGGTCTTGCAGTGTCTGGTGTTCCAGATTTCTGGGCTGAGGTTTTCAAAAGAATGGTACAGATTGTTCATGCAACCAATTTTCAGAGGTGGGGCTTTTTCCGCATCTGTTTTGCTGGTGAGTCTGATTATGGTTCCCATGGGGATGGTAAGGAAACTGAGGAGTATATCCACGAAGTCCGAGTTTGCTTCGGCGGCTACCACTCGATTCACCTTCTCGTCTATCAGCAGCTTCAAGCAAACAGCGGATTCTTGCTTCGTCGTCTTCATATTATTAAGAAGCTGAGGAAGCTGAGTATGTCCACGAAGCCCGAGTTTGCTTCGTTGTCTTGGTTTCATCATGGTGATTCAGGTTCAAGCAAGTAGGTTAAGCTTAACAGACTCACTGTCTATCATAAAGAAAATAAGAATTGTTGGAGCATTTAATCCACTTCTACAAGTATCTCGATTCTCGAAGAGGCAGCAGAACTGCAGAAGTTGTTAATGCCCTGTTTGGCGATTAGAGGATTCAATCAGTAGAGGATCTTCACGTACATTTTGTCACGATCCGTCAAAAATAAATTCAATACCATCACTAATACGTAGTATACGTGAAGTAGAGTTTGTATACACAGGAAAAGGAATAATTATCTTTTTAATGAAAGAACTAAATAAAGGGGGAATTTGGATTGAGTTGACTGGTTTAATTTAAAAACTAAGATGAACAACCTATATGTGTTTTAATTCAAAGATAAAAGAATTTGGCATTGCTACTTTCCACTTGTTGATATATTTTAGTCGATCATTGTTATATCTATAACTTATTCTCTCTCAAATACTCAATCGAGGAGTATATCCAATTCATCGAGAGTAGTTATTAACAACGATCTTTCATTAATAACTCTTACTATTAGTCAAGTATAGAACACCGCAATATACCGATTTGATAGTAGCATTTAATCTCTTAACTCTTTGATAAAATCAATTGAGATTGATAACTTCAACACAACGGTTTCGGTTTAACCAACAAAATTAATCTCTCTCAAGTTTATCAACCACGACCGTGCATTAATAAACCGAAGTTACTTACTTGTGAAACCATCAACGATTAACCATCGGTTCGTCGATCGCTTCTAGTAATAATTAATATATGAAACAAAACTAGTTGATCCTTTAAATAATGTTCAAAATATTAATATGAAATATGAATAGGAATTAATTAATATTCAAGGATGAATAATATTAAAGGAGATGAATCCTACTATAATTAATGTCAAGATGTTAACTAATTGTCATCTTAGCAACACTCTCCAACATTAATATAGAGGAAGAAAATACTACTCTAATTAATGTCAAGATGTTAACTAATTGTCATCTTAGCAACATTCTCCAACATTAATATAGAGATAGTATTAAAGAAAGAACTAATAATTAATATTCAAGGGAAGAAGTTAAGAAAATAACTCACAACTTTAATAATCAACAAGCTTCAAGAGCAACACCAAGATATGGAAGTTTAGCTCCTCATTTGGAGACCAAACATAGCTAGAAAAATATAAAGAAATGTTATTCTAAACTGAGCTTAAGAGTATGGAAGAAGTGATGGTTTTAATGTGAAGGAAATGGAGTGTATTTATAGCAAAATGGAGGTGGCAGGATTCTGTACTCGATCCAATATTGGGGATACTGGACCGAGTATGAGAGGAAATTTCCAGGAAATTGTGAAAAATAGGCATACTCGACCGAGTATTGCCAATACTCGACCGAGTATGACAGATTTTTCATCGAAAATTCAGCCACATTCTTTTGCTCCGAGATTTGATTTTGACCAGCGTATCTGACCAATACTCGATCGAGTATTGAACAAATATCAAAATCTTCAATTGATCTTCTCTCTTTTGCACATTCTTTGGTCTTTAGGATACATCCTTTGATTCTTTGGATGATTTTGACCTGTTCTAAGTTCAGAATAATCCTAATCTAAATAAATTACAAATAATTAATGAAAATAAAGTATTACATCAAAAGTGTGTAATTTCCACAACTAGAACTAATAAAACTAGTTAAAAATACAAACATACATAATAGAAAATTCACACCATCAGTTCTAAACGGGCAAATTGAGTCAGCGGGTTACAAAAAGACGTTTGGTAACTTAGTTGTTTGCTTTTAGCGGTTAATAGATAAAAAGATAAAAAGGGACATTAAACATGCATATAACTTAATAAGAATGGTAACGTATGAATATTAAAATACTACCTCTGTTCCTATTATAACTTCCAAATAGGTTTGAGACACAATTTAAGATAGTGAGTATTGTGTGGTGGAGAGTTGTGTAGAGGAGAGAGGAATGTGTAAGAAATGTTGTGAACCACAAATTTTTTACCAAAAAGGGAAAGTGGAAATTTTAATTGAAACGGACGAAAAAAGAAAGTTGGAAGTTATACTAGGAACGAAGGGAGTAGAAATCTTAGCATGCAAATGACTTGACATGTGATGTAGGACTAGTTTTAGAAAAAGAGGAAAAAACAATAAAATGGTTATCAAAAGCTTCGATGCCGCTAAAATTGCCCCTCCCTGTCAAAAAATATATTATTGCAGTTGTTTTCTAAATCTATGCCCACCTTTATGACCTTTGTGTCTCTATAATATTTCTCTTATCAAACTTCAAATATTATTCCGTTACCGATTAAAATATAATTCAATACAAACTAATTAATACAAAAATATCAATCTATTTAATGAATAGCACTTTTATTCCAAAAGAAAACTATTGATTTCATTAACCGGCTTCCTATCATCAATTTGGTTGAATCCTTATCAGTTATCTTATTTGTTTATTCTTACCTAAGTAAAAGGGTTCTTGCTAGAAGGAGCTCTTATTAAAATAAGGCAATTCTTAACCGACTTACCTATGTAAAAGGGTTCTTACTAGAAGGAGCTCTTATTAAAATAAGGCAATTCTTAACTGACTTACCTAAGAATAAGGAGCTCTTATTAAAAGGGGTTTCATACTTCCAGCTACCCATAGACGCAATAAGAAGGTAGCAGGTTTTACAACAACAACACCGGAAGATGAGAGGACAGATTTGTCGAGGCCTTTTGGCTTAGATATTACTAAAAATAGGATAAAAGACAAAAAAGTGACATGTTTTTCAAAATTCCAAAAATGTGACCAACATCACAATTAACCCTGCAGTGTAAAGTGACTCCGGTCAAAGTGACCGTAACACCCCGTCATGTAGGGTCCGAGGTAGTTACTTCTAACCTCTCCAGACCTCTAATACTATCCTCACAAATCGTCACTAGCCTTTTCCGCGCACTTTATCCTCACTCATGCGCGCCCTGAGAAACTTCTCAGGGGGTCACCCATCCCAAGAGTACTCCCGTGCAAGCACGTTTAACTTTGGAGTTCTTGGCTAATGAGCTCCATTAAAAGGAGATGCACCTTATTGGTATGAGTAGTACTATTAATCCTTTTAAATTCATCTCAAGTGTTACAATCACCCCCACTTAGGAACACAACGTCATCGTTGCGCCCGCCCATAAACCAATCTCAAATCTCAATCAAATCCCAGAATCCTCCCCCGCTAAGTGCCCGCCCGATATCCAACGGGTCAGCACACTGTTGCAAGGTTGCTCTGATACCACCTGTAACACCCTGTTCTGTAGGGCCCGAGGTAGTTACTTCTGAGCCTCTCCAGACCTCTAGTACTATCCTTACAAACCGCCACTAGCTTTTTCCGCGCACTTTGTCCTCACTCGTGCGCGCCCTGAGAAACTTCCCAGGGGGTTACCCATCCCAAGAGTACTCTCATGCAAACACGCTTAACTTTGGAGTTCTTTGTTAATGAGCTCCTTTAAAAGGAGATGCACCTTATCGGTATGAGTAGTAATATTAATCCTTTTAAATTCATCTCAAGTGTTACAGTGACTCTGGCCAAAGTGACCTCACCGGCCACAGTGACTGCCCCACCGGCCACAGTGACTGCTCACCGGTCACCGTCCCTCCGGTTAGAGTGACTTCCTGCACATCAGCCATAATGACTACCCGCCCACCTACCACAATGACTGCCCACCCGCTAGCCACAGTGATTGCCCGTCCAACTCCATCATCGCCGTCCACGCCGGAAACCACCACCTCCCACGGTCGCCTGCCGCCAATCCCTGTCCTCTCCTGCACCAACCCCAACCCAGCCCCTCCCCAACCCATACCTAGCCCCAGTCCCCAAACCCCTGCCACCACCGACCCCCGGCTATCGTCGTCACCCCTGGACACTGCCACCTTGCCCCCACCTTAGCCCCCAACCCCCTAGCCTCTGCAAAAATCGCATCCAACCACCACAGTCCACCCCCAGCCGCCACTGTGCAACCCCTTAGTCAAGACCCTGTCCCGACGGCAAACATAATGTTGTTTTTCATTTTGAATTCTGTCATAAAACAACGAAGAAGTAATTAAGAAATGATAAAGGAGGAACTGAAGAAGAAATCAAGGAAAACATGATGAATGAGAAAGGGAGAAAGAAGCAAAAACCTGAAGGAAAAAAATACATGAGTTCCCCCTACCTTGCTCTAGACGACCAACCCCGCCACCTCCGCCCATCATTTTGCCCCCTCCTATCTCGTTTGTCAGTTAATCTAGCCGCAGCCGGTGAACCCTAGCCGTGAATCTAACACTAATGTCACCGTCGTCGCTCAGAAGAATCCTGGCCGCCGCGGATCTGGAAACGTGGATGAAGGAGTGGCCGAAGCTCCTCTCCTCATCCATGGAATCTCTGACCAAGCTTCGTCCGTGGTCGTCGTTTCAGCGAAGGCGGCAGGCGGCAGGTTGAAGGCGTGAATCGGCGGTGAGAAGAAAAAGTCGGCGTCTGGAGAAGCTGGATTGAGAATGAAGGGAGGCTACGGAAGGGGGGAGATGGGAGCTGCGATGAAGGAGGGCTAAGCTGGGCTAAGAAAAAGTCATATTTTTGGAAAAAGAAAAATAAGTCATATTTTTAGTAATGGAAAGTTTATTAGTAATATTGAGGCCATTTTTTCATTTGTCAATCTTATAATTATTTGAAAACGCTAACCCGTAAACGCTCCTGGTTGCAACGTGTTGATTTTGGCGGATCCATGTAAAAACGCTAGGCCAAACATCTGTTTACCAAACATGTAAAAAATGATGTTTCCTATCTTTGAAACAGCTAAATTGGTCAAACCCTCCAATTTCCAGCGGAAACACCGATTACCAAACACAGCCTTAGTGTTTGTCGTGTTCAGATCATCAATACTTTACTTGGCCTATTCTTTTTTAATAAGGATAATTTAGGTATTTGCTTTTATTTTTGTTAATATTTATTTAATTGTGTGGGTGTAAATAGCAATATTAAGACTGTAAATAGAATTATCTTTTTTTGGATGAGCATGTGGGTATGATCCACACATGTGATTTGCTACAAAATCCAACCGGGCCCATATGGGCTAGCTGAATCAAATCCAACACAGTATTTAAAGGGGTTGGGCGGGGTAGGGTATTTGACTATTAGAAATCCAGCTCGGTCCAATGAACCGACTAGCCATGACTTGATTATTAGGGGTTGCTGCTTGATTACGAAAAGGTCATCATGTGCTTCTGCTTGATGACTGTAATGATCCCAAACGGTCAAGTATAAGCTTGACAGTGGCTTATAAACAACTAAACAAGGTGTTCCCTCCTCCTAATCAACTGGTCCTTTGAGAGTGAATTTTACACATGAGCTTATGGTATTGGAGCCTAATATGATCAAAATTCGCAACAATTGGTATCAAAGTCATCTCCATCTTCCTAGTCCCAACACTGAGTGGTGGCATATGAAGTGGTGGCCTATGAGGTGGAGGCTTGGGCAGTTGGGCTTATGGTATTTGTATGAGCCTAGAATAGGCAAGGTTCGTAACAATCTCATGGTGTCACGTAGTTGCATAAATGGCTCCATGTTGATACTTAGTATCTCATGTGCTGTGTAATGTGTATGTATACATGTGCTCTAGGTTCTTTTCACTAATTATAAGTAAAGCTTGAAAATATATTGAAATCCCTGTTTCATATGTACCCTGTAAAAACTGTGGGTTGAGCAGATTAAGTGAATTGTTAATTGCAAACATATCTAGTAACTGGTGATATATACTCTGTATGTCACAATATAAACTTTTCCATAGAAAAACATAATTCATAACAAGGATAGTGTTTCACATATAGACCAAGCATAGTGACAGGATCAATCAATTTTCGCAAGTATGAGGATTCAATTTATTTCCGGTCTTAGAAAATCCCTACTTTGATGACCCCTTATGACCTGCTGAACTCATCATCATCAGTTACCTAGCTCTTCGGGCACACTCCGCAAATTTCTGAACAGCAATGGCACATTTGAGAGGGTTCTCCTGATTTTCCCTGTAGCATTTTGTGCAAGCATCTCTTTCCTCCAAGCACGGGATTGGCTTGTTGTCGGGAAGTTTAAATTCCTTCTCATGGAGATCCTTCGCCCTTTGTGTTACTTCCTCTAACATGTTCTCCTCCTTCTTCTGCAACCTCTCCACCAGCTTTTCGCTCTCTTGGACTGCACACCTGATAGCATCTAACTCTGCCATCAACGGCTGGTCAAGTGGAGGAAGTGGTAAGTACAATGGTGGCGGTGCAAGTGGCCATTTATTCGACTCTTCAGATACAGGCTTTTGATGTGCCTTTGACCAGGAAGTCTGTGAATCGTTTGATATCTTTGGTTTTGGCCGCTTTGATCTTTTCTTGAGCTTCTCACCATCATCAGAAAGTTTTTTAACTAAATCATTACTGATCTGAATGGTAAATGATTCGCTCATGATGCATGCAGCCAAGCAGCCCTGAGGAATCACCTGAAATATCAAGGGTCAAATTGAAAGTTTGCAAATAATATTAATACTCCCTCCGTCCCAAAATGAACTTCACAGTCACTATTCACATTGTCAACTTAAATTACTCTTAATCTTATGTTTTATATATCAAATTTTTATCAAATTTAAATTTTTTTATCAGCCTTTGTAGCGGTTTTAATGTAGTTTCTCAATATGTAAATTTTATTTACTAAAAGTAATCTGAGTATGAACAGGGATCGAGTTGCTTTATCGTCGATCAAGCATCGTAATCCGAAATGGAAACTTAATTTTGGGACGGAGGTGGTAATAAAGTTTAATAGTGACTACAATACACTACATATAGATTATTGAGGTTTTTAATAATGGATCTTTACAAATCCAAGTAAGATTAACATGAAAGTTTGAAACAGGGTATGATATATAGTAGTTGATGCATGTATTCTACGAAATCCTAATTCTTTTTGGTTAATGATCACCCCAGAGCCTCATTTTCTTTGATAAGCCACTCTGTTAGCCTTTTGTTTATTTGGGGTGACATTGAGATCAAAGAAAGAGCGAAGAAATGAAGTGAAGAGATAAAGTGGAAAGAGATCACAATAAAGTCCCCCCCTACCTTTTGCACTCTTCTCTCTTGTGCTAGATAAAAACAATGGAAAGCATTTTGCATTTTATTAATTTATTCTATTTTGATTTCATTAATGTCCTTTCTTTTTATCTAATATCACTTATTCACTTTTATGTAAGGGTATTTTGGTCTGTCCCAGATAATCAAAGTAGCGAGGCGCACTCAAGGCGCTAGGGCACCCCAGCACCTGAGAGGCACAGGGCACAAATAAAGAGATCATCTCACACTCGCACTGTAGAATATACTACATATACTATTCTATAATTAATAAACATGATGTAGGCCTGTAGGTGACTTAATATTGAACTAAATGCATTAAAAAGTCATGTTTCACGAAAAAAATCATGATTCATCAAAACAAAGTCATGTTCAAACAACAATACACCGCATTCAGAGTTCACAAGTTTGAGCTGAAAATTGAGTTTAATGGTCCAAGTTTTTTTGTCATTAGCATTAAATGTTAGTTTCAGCCATTGGATCATTCGAAACAATATATTCTAAAGTCTAATTCCACTTTTTATGATGAAGTAGTCCTAACCGTTAGATAAGTATTAGAAGTAAAAAAGTGTATTTATAGGGTTCATCATACAACAAATTTAAGATACAACGGTCGAAACAAAAATATAATATTAATGAGCGAGAAATATCGGATCATTAACTTTATTTTCGGTCTAAAATGAATACGGAATGACAGAAATTCCTGTCAGTCAGGACTGATGAGAATAGCACTATATATATATATATACATATATATATATATAAGCTTGTAAACTAGAAAGCGCACAAAAGCAAAGAGATGTGGCTATTTTTAAATGCAAAAGATGTAAGCGAAGCTTTGCTTTCTCATAAAACCAGTGTTTTTAAAAAATTATAAAATTAAAATATATAATGCATAATTGAGCCAAGAATACATAACTAGTCATGCCCCCATGCAGGATCCTCACTATTGGATTGTGTTCAAGACATATTTCATCTACAAGTAGATGTTTCTCAAACTTATAATCTAACAAGTGTACAAATATTTTAAATTGATTGTAGCTAGTAGCCCAGACTAATGCATAAACTATATTTCCAGTTAGGTTAACAGTATTCAAAAAATTAGAGTAATAGCAGAATACTTTCGAGTAATAGTATATACTCTTTAGTAATAAGATGATTAGAGAAAAACTTTAGCTAGTAGCCTAGAAATTAGAGTAATTTCTAGTAATAATTTTGAAAGTGGACAAAAGCAGAGTACTTCAGGTTATAACAGACTACTCGGAACTTTACATTCCATCAATAAGTGTAAACAAAAAAGAAATGTAAAAAAAGTTTGAACCAAGTTTGAAGAAGTTTGAACCATGGTATGTAATAGAATGTGGAATGTAACAAATCGAATAATAATATGTATCAAACATTCTATTAGAAAACATTCTAATATGTAACACATCGTTCAACATTCACAAGTTAAAAGAGTACTTATGATTGAATAAATATATATATATATATATATATATATATATATATATATTGTAATCCATATATTTGATACATTATAACTCTCGAAGCATTACATATAATTATTCGCTCAAGTTGATTTGAATCCGTAATGTGGAATGTGAAAGTTGAATTGCCTACGCCTCTGCGCAACAGCTCGTACGCCTTAACTCCTTCTGTAGTATGCACTGAAATCCTAAACCCTACTCCAGGAAATCGGTGAGGTGTGCCTCAAGGGGGTATTGCATCGCGCAATTACATACCATGGTTCAAACTTCTTCAAACATAAACCATGCTGGGTTTGTCTATTTTGACCCAATAATCAATATTAGTCTAGTGTTTCCCATTTTTATTTGTATAAACATAATCGGTAACACCCTATGGTTTAGTCCATGATGGCAGGATTAAACTTATGTAAACTCCACTTTTCAGTCCAGAATTTTCAGAGATAGACTTATAGTTTACAATTTTGCTCGCTTTCGAATTGTATGTAAACTTTTTTTACATTTCTTTTTTGTTTACACTTATTGATGGAATGTAAAGTTCCGAGTAGTCTGTTATAACCTGAAGTTTAATTTAATATTTTATAATTATTGACATGTTAAACTTTTCAGTCTGTTTTTTAATGTCTAATTTAATATTTTATAATTATTGACATGTTAAACTTTTTTGGAAGTTTGACATGAGGGGGTGTTTTTTCATGTCTAACTTAATATTTAATAATTAACATGTTAAACGTTTTTGGAGGTATAACACGAGGGGGTATTTCTTTAATTATTTGGGAATATAATGTAAAGAGGCATACATATTAAATAAACTAACTCATGTTCTTTAATTCATAAGTCCGAAATTAAAAAAGATATTATTTAATCATGCATGTTTAACTTATAATGAAATTTTATGTAGCCATACATATTAATTAAACTTATATACAACCAATATAAGCATGCCAATTAATCATATATACAAACTAAATCATGTTATATTGAGCATATAGAACATGTAACAAACTGAATCATGCCAATTATATTGAGCATATAGAACATGTAATAAAACTTGTACACAACAAATAAAGGCATGCCAAAAAAACGAGTGTTTCTCATATTAATTGATAACATGCATACAGAAAACAAGTATTTAGAAAACTAAATTATATTTCAATTCAAAAATTAAAGCAATATTATAAACTAAATGAAATTATATTTCAAAATCATATTACTCCACATGCATCAATTTGAGATACTAACTAAAATCAAATGACACATACCTAAATCAATTTGAGCATATTAACCAAATCGTATTAAACAATTTGAGAATAATGGGAACACACTTACCGTAACATGCATTTTTAAAATAAAAATCAAATACTACAAATAAGAATTAAAGGTAAATCAAAATTAGAATACATAACCTTTATGAAAAAAGAAGGAGGAGGCCGACAGTGGCAGCAGCAGACGGTGGCGACTAACGGCGGCGGCGAACGGCGGCAGCGAACGGCGGCAGCGAACGGCGGCAGTGAACGGTTGAAGGCAGAGTTGGAGTTGAGACCGGTGGAGTGTAGAGGGAGATATGAAGGATTTAGGGTTTTGGCCTGAAAGGAATGCGGAATGAAAAATCTGCTAAGTGTTGATTTTATATAAAGGAATAGTCACGGACCTAGTCACGGATAGTCCGTGACTAGCCGTCGTAAATTACGAAGCCAGACGCGCGGCAGACGAGGTGTCAGGGCCGCTTTTGACCGTCTTAGTCACGGACGGTCCGTGACTAATCCCGTGACTAATTCAAAAAAATTTGAATTAGTCACGGACCTCGTCACGGACCTGTACGATTTTTGAATTATTCACGGATCTAGTCACGGACGGTCCGTGACTAAATACTTTCCATCCGTTCACCACACGCGGCCCGGAGTCAGACGAAAGTGGAATTTTATTCCACTTTATTATATTCGAGTTTAATTTTGAGTATAAATAGATGATTCCCGGTCCAATGTTTGTGAAAAAAATGGTTAATCGAGAATCAATTGACTGGGATTCGATGTGCAGAACTATGAAACGACTCAAGCTAATTACACAGCTTATGGAGCCGAAATCCTTTGAAGCATACCAGAGAATCACGGAGTTGATGGCTAGACCCCTTGAAAGTTTTGGCAATTATAAAGATGAGGAATCCGACTCACTCGGCAAGTCAAAAGCAAACAACTTGTGTCGGATGCTTCAACGTGCAGAAGAATGTTCGGAGTATATGTATCCGATCAACGAAGAAGCTGAAAGGAAAATTCACGAGCTGTTGGCTAGGTCTCTTGAAAGTTTTGATATTGATGAATAATTGTGTATTTGTTTGTTTGGTTATTATGATAAATAAATGATTAATGTTTCGTTAGTTGATTGTGATAAAAAAAATTGTGCGTTTCGTACTTATCTTTTACGGAGTAATAATGATGAAGAAATATTGTTGGACTACAATAATAATGAAGAAAAGAGTACAAATATTCGAAATCAAAAAAATTGTAATACAACAATACAATTAGTCACTATCAGAGTCATTATTTTCTACATATACAACATCTTCTTCTGTATCAGAACCGTCTATCCATTCTCCTTCTTCCTGATAATAAGCATTTTGTTGTTCTTCATGCATTTCAACAATTTCGCGCTCAGATGGAATTGTTAGGTCCGGAATGTGCGTTTCTGGCATGACTTCAACACTTCCCCCATTTGGATCACTTAGCTGAATGTGCTGGTTGACCATCTCAACAATCGGTGGAGGTTGGAAAAAATGTTGCTGAAAAGCATCTAAATCAACGTCCTTGTGTTGAGTTTGTGATACAATTTTGCTCGGACGGACAGTACATGCACACACCCAAGGATTCTGTGTCCGCCTGGTTGAAGGATATTCTGTATAATAAATCTGGGCTGCTTGTTGAGCAAGTATAAAAGGCTCATTTTTCGTATACACGCGAGAGTGGTTGACGTCAATCATATTATACTTTGAATTTTTTCGCACACCACGTGTTGGATCAATCCATTTGCAGCGGAACAAAACGCATGTCAACTTTTTCCCAGCAGAAGGCATTTCCAGTTCGAGAATCTCGTGCAAGACACCAAAAAAATTGATTTCCGAGTTATCATAACCGATTGTTGGGACACATAACCCGCTGTTCACTGTAGGTCGGCCCTGTCCGTAAGCGACTGTGTGATAGGTGTAACCGTTTATCACATATGACCGCCAAACTTTGGCGTAGGCACCAGGGCCCCACGATAATGATACTAACAAAGGGTCCACAATCCCACAGTTATTGATCTGTAAATTAAAACACGATAACATTGGGTAATTATTAAATATTATTAATTAATAATATATATAATTAATGTGTGTGTATGTATATATACCTGATGCTTGTACCACGGTATAAAATGAGAGTCCACCAATGCATCAATTTCATTGTCAGGGAATGTTGAGTACTCCGCTCTAAATTCACTGTGAAGTCAAACATGAAAATATTATAAATCAACTACCTTAATTGTATATATATTACAAAGATAACTACAAATTTAACTTACTGATAAAACGGTAAGATTTCTCGACAATTAATGAGCATATAAGTATGCGCAATTTGTAATTCTTTTCCCACGATGTATCGGTTTGTCCAAGCTCCTTTACCTATACCTGGGTAATTGAAAATGGAAACTACATTTTCATACAAATTCTCGCCGATGTCATCGTTTCGGGCAGGTCTCTTTCTTCTAGTGATGACTTCACGCTCAAAATAAAGGATGAGAACGTTGAGATTTCTTGTTGAAGATATGCTTGACAAATTGAAGCCTCAACGTGTGCTTTGTTGGTCACTTTCTTTTTCAACTCTCCAAGAAATCTGCAAAGTAAAATAAAAGTGGTACACAGATTAATGTTGTTATGAAATAAATATTCAAAGATAAATGAAATTGTGACTAACCTTTCAAATCTGTACATCCAGCGATAGAAGACGGGTCCACCATTTAAAGCCTCATACGGAAGATGTATTACAAGATGTTCCATTCCATCGAAAAACGACGGAGGCATTATCTTTTCCAAATTACACATCAGCATGGGAACAGACTCTTCTAGTCTACGGAGGGATGCTGCATCCAAAACGCTTGAGCATATCGACTGAAACAACAAACTGATCTCAGTAATGCAGGACCATACGTGTTCAGGAAGCATCTCTTTCAGTGCAATTGGGAGAAGTCTTTGCATGATTACATGACAATCGTGAGTTTTCATGCTCGACGTCGTTGCAAGTTTGTCCATGTCCACGCATCTGGACAAGTTGGAGCAGTAGCCATCTGGAAACTTCAGAGACACAAGCCATTGTAATATTGATTCTTTTTGTGCTTGTGTGACTTGGTAGACAGCTTTTGGAATATTGTTGCCCTGATATTCTAGATCAATAGACAGTTCAGGCCTATCACACCAAATAGTCATATCTTTTCGAGATGCAAGACCGTCTTTAGTTTTACCTTTGAAATCCATCACTGTGTTAAATATATTGTCAAACCCGTTCTTCTCAGTGTGCATGACATCTATATTGTGACGAATGAGAAGGTCTTTCCAATATGGTAACTCCCAAAAGATACTCCTCTTTGTCCATTTATGGGTATCACAAAACCCATATGGCTTCTTATTTGGTTCTTGCATAACCGTAGGAATACGTTGAACCCGGTTAAAAATTGCTTCCCCGGTCAATCTCGGGGGCGGGGTGTCTTTTACCACTCTACCTCTAATAAAAGACTTTTTGTCCCTTCGATATCGGTGGTTTTCCGGGAGAAACTTGCGGTGACAATCAAAGTAGCTTGGTTTTTTACTGAAAGCTAGCCAATTGGCACCTGATTTCTCCATGCATATCGGACATCCATAAGACCATGTGTGCTCCATCCCGAAAGCATGCCATAGGCAGGGAAGTCGCTAATGGTCCAAATGATGGCAGCTTTCATTATGAAATTTTGATCCCTTGAAACATCATATGTTGGTGTCCCAATGGCCCAAAGTTCTTTCATCTCCTCGATAAGGGGTTAGAGATAAATGTCTATTTTTTTCCCTGGATCATTGGGACCCGGACAGATTAGAGTCAAAAAGATAAAGTGACTTTTCATGCACATGTCGGGAGGGAGATTGTAAGGAGTTAACATGACCGGCCAACATGAATAGTTCTTCCCAAACTTTCCAAATGGAGCAAATCCGTCTGAACACAATCCCAGTCGCACATTTCGTGGCTCCATTGCAAACTGAGGATGACAACGGTCAAAGTGTCTCCAAGCTTCACAGTCCGAAGGGTGAGACATCATACCCTCTTTTGTTTCGTGCTCAACATGCCATGTCATGTGTTTCGCAGTAGCAGTCGAAGCGTACATCCTCTGAAGTCGTGGAGCTATTAGGAGGTAATACAGTTTAGACAATGCCGACTTATTTCGTGGTTTCTTTCCACTTTGAGGAACTGGTTTGTATCTGTTTCCACCACAGAACTTGCAGAATTCAAGTGTCTCATCATCCTTCCAGAACAACATACATCCTTTCGGGCACGCATCAATTTCTATATAAGGTAGCCCCAACTTAGACATTAATTGCTTCATGTGATAATATGAATCCGGAAGGTTATGATCACGTGGTAGCATCCCGCCTACTGACTGCAAGACTCTAGTCATGCAAGTTTCAGGGAGACTGTATTCAGCTTTTATGTTCATAAACTCTGTAACGGCGGATAGCTGAGAGTATCCCTCACAATCAGCATACAAGGGTTGATCAGCTGCTTTTAAAACATCTTGAAACCTTTCAGCTAAACCTTCATCCACATAAGGTTCATAAAATATCGGATTTTCATCCTCATGTGGTTGATACGAGGTCGAAGCTTCAGGAGGATCGTTAGATGGTTGTGGGGGGTTGAACTGAGACATCGATGCACCGTATGCGTCATATACCATACGTTGCTCCCATCTCATTTCAGCAGGGTCTCCCCACGCACTCATCTCTGCAGGGACGTTACGAGACGAACCTATAGTTTGTGGTAAAACAGATGGATCCAAAGGTTCGCCATGAGAAGTCCAATTGTAATAATTGGGAAGGAAACCGTCCGCGTACAAATCCCACCCAACTTCTTCTGGGTGTTTAAATTTGAGATTTTTACACTTTGAACATGGACATCTGATTTTAGCACCACTCATATAAGCCGGATGTTCAAGTGCAAATTTAATAAACTCCTCAACTCCTTCAAGAAAATTTGATTGCATTCCGTACAATACCGCATGTTTATCGTACATCCAAATTCTATTTTGTCTATACATTATGCCTGAATATTATAATAAAAAAATTATACAGGTTAAAAACTCTAAATTATAAACATTACCAACATATTATATATGTGGAGTATTATTAATATATTAAAATCAACTAATTCCCTAAAATTCCCTTAAAATTAAATAATTCCCTTAAAATTAACTAATTCCCTTAAAATTAACTAATTCCCTTAAAATTAACTAGTTTCCTTAAATTTCACTAAAATTCACTAAAATTCCCTTAAAATTAACTAATTCCCTAAAATTCCCTTAAAATT